CCTAACACACCGTGCTAAAGGGAGCCCAGCTAACAGCTTACAACAAACCGGTTCACAGGACACACCTGGCTTGGTTTCGACACGTATTACAAAGTGAAGCTTCCTCACAGTACAGCTCTGTCTTGTCCCAGTTTCTTCATCCAAGTACCTAAGATTTCCTGAATTCATGTATCTTTACCTCAGAGTGGGGTTTTTTATTCTTTATTGTTGAAAGTATTACAGTCCTCCTTGTCCCCCCACTGGTCCCCTCCAGCCCATCCCCGCTACCCCCCCAGAGTGTTTCTACCTAATCTCAAGCTCAGGAAACACTGGTGTTCCTTTATTCATTCTACAAATGCTGACCCACAGCCCAGATGCCACACCCACTTGTACTGGCACAGCCAGGTTAAATTTCGGACCACCATCTCCCAATTAGGCTCTAACCCTTGAGTGCCCCTTCTCTAACCACCACCGCCACTACAATGAGCCCAGGAAAGGGGAACCAAATGGCTGGCTTTAACAACTGCTCGTTCAGACTGTAAGTGACAGGAGTGGCCGTGGATTACACACTGCTTATGCAGGAAGTACCATGGTGTTACACAGAACCCCAGGGTTAGACGTGAACAGCAGCACAGTCACACTGTCTTTAACATTTTCTCATACTGTTCACAGTGGTTTTATACTGGTAGAATACGTCACAAACCCAATGACGTTTGAGAACGACGGAGCTAGAACCAAAGCAAAGAAATGGTAGGACCTTGAATTCCCCTATAAGAGGGGTACTAGCCAAACCCCACCAGGCCATTATCTGGTTGGATCTCTATTTTTTCATTTACTGTCATTTTCAGAATTCTTCCCATCAAAGGATCCAAAGGCCGGTGCTGCTCACCTCTGACCAGCACTGCACAGAAGCCTGCGCCCACAGAAACAGTGCACCTGCCCTCCCCACCCCACTCCACAAAAGGCAGTTTTGTGACAGGTAACCTGACACCTGAGAAGCCCGGGCCAAAGTAGATACCTCCAGCTGACTCACTTTATAAACAAAAAGCTAATTCAGATGAGATTCTCTGATCTGTCCTGAGAACTAGAGTATTAAACACAAACAAAATACCAAGACGTGTAGCTGGGGTGTAACAGCTCTCTGACACTGTAATAAAAGAGGGAGGACAGCGCAGGTAGGCACCCTGGAACACTCTGTGACTGCAGCGCACACTCACTCACAGTGCGGAGCTCAGTCATGGAAAATTCCACAGACCCAGGACTTCCCCAAGCCCAGCAGGCAGAGAAGCTGACGGTAGCAGCAGCCGCCCGTCCTTTCATCAGGGACTGAGGTAACTGGCTAACGCTTGGACACGTGAAAAAAAGTATGTTAGAACCTAAAGAGACTGTCCCCTTTCTTCACCAAAAACGTACAGCACCGAACGAAAGCCCAGCTCCCGGTCCTCCCTCCTGGCTGCACGCTGTAAGACCCAGCGAGCTTGTACAATTACTGACGCTCTGCTTCCCCCGGAACCTCTCCTTTAACCCTCCCATAACACAGTTAGGGAAACTGAGGCAGGCAGAGGCTGAATGATTTGCCTGCGCTCACACTACTCATTAGGTGGCAGCAGCTCCTGAACCAGAAATCCAGTCGGACTAATGCTCCCGCTACAAAAGTTACCTGATGAAGTACTGACATTTCGAAGGCATCCCTTTAGCAAAATCTAAACTGATCTGGGGAATAAGGAAATAAGCCATCTGCTGATTATTGATTAAATCCAGGGCAAGCCTTTGGTACCTGAGGTAAGGAAGAGATATCTAGAAGCGAGAACAAAGGCTACTTTGCTTGCTCAGGTCAGTATTGAGAAACTTTTCTGAATTTAATTTTCCATACTATTTTTAATGTTTTGATTCAAGCAAAACATCTCACTTAAAAACCCCAACAAACCACAGTTCAAGAAAGTTCCTTGGGAAATGGCCCAGGCCTTTCCTCTGAAATTTCATGGGGGAACTGTCCCCCTCTGACCAGCTGAGCTCTGTGCCTGCCCTTCCGACTCCGACCCGACTTGAAATTTCCACAAACACAGTGGAGAACTGGGAGGGGAAAATCCAGCCTGAATTGATGGAAGTGGGTGGAGGAAGAGGTCATATTCCAATGATCCTATTACTTCATGTGTCCAGGAAGAGAGAACGAAATGTACCCTTCAAATCTGCCAAACTGTTCCCCAAGTCCCCAAAACCTCAGCCCAGCCTCATAACCAACCATCTGAGATAGTCGAATGCCTGGGGCGGCTCTGGTGCCGTGACGTCAGCCTGCAGAGCTGGCATGGGCCAGAAGTCAAGTCCATGCTCCTTATTCTAGACAGGACACGAAGCCCTAGAGAGCATAATCCCCCAGTGAACCCGCGAAAGGGCCGGCTGGGACGCAGGGCTCTCGTGTCCCCTGTGCCAGCGGACACCAATGTCCCGGTCTATCCCACTACCGTTACCAATGCCACGCTCCAGGTCAGCTCTGGGGATGCAAAGGGGAATGAGAAGAGGGACCAAGCCCTGCAGGGCCCGTGAACTTGTGAGAGAGAAACCAGGACAGCAGTGGCCTGTGCTCTGGGAGGGTTCATTCTACACACACTCCCGGCCACTTGTCCTGAGCTCAGCTCTGGGTGACTAGGATTCTCCAAGCGGACTGCATGTCCTCCCCCACAGAAGAGGCTACCCCCAGCTCTCTCAGATCTGCTGTTCCTTTGTTTCACACTCAGATATGAGAACAGGGAGCAGGGCGGCACGGTTACTTCCCGGTGACGTACAGATCGAGCGGATAAATGCCTAGCTTCCCTGTTGGCAAGAACTTCTCTTCTGACCCACTGTCCCTCCAGCGAGGGCAATGCCACGAGTGACCTCTATCAGTGGCTTCCTTAAGAGACAGCAGAGACACAGAGGAGTGGCTTGCACTATATCCACCGAGATAATCTCTATTATCTGCCCTCATCCCAATCCACTGAAACAAACCCCTTCAAAGGCACATATTATTGGATGCTATTAGAAAATATGAATTCAGTATTGGGCAGGGTTGGGTTTTAAATCCAGCTATCTATCTATATATATGAAAAGCTAATATGCTAAGTGTCCGACTGTCTGACCGGTCGCTATGATGCGCACTGACCACCAGAGGAGCAGACGCTCAACGCCGGAGCTGCAGTGACTAGGCAGCGGCAGTTCTCGGAGACGCACCCCGAAACCAGAGAGGAGGGAGCCCGGTTCCTCGCAGGGCCTTGCGATTCCACCTTCGGCCATGGGTTATATTGTTGCTGGGGCACTGTCTGCCCCAAATCTGGTTTACTGAACTATTGCATTTGCGTTCCACATGCTGTACAACAGCAACTTTGCAGGTGCCCTCTTGCACTCAGGGACCCCTCGGGGATGTCTGAGAGCCAGTTTCGGCCTGATCCCCATAGACCAAGCAGGCCGAGGGACCCCCACCTGCCAGAGGGACCCCCTGCTCACTCTGCAGACGCTGGAGAGGGACCGTGGGAGGTTGGCTCCAGGGTGTGTCCAGCCCTTCTCGCCCAGTCCTGCCCCACCGGCCCCTTCTAATTAACTTCCTTTCAATGTGCACAAATCTGTGCACTGGGTCACTAGTAATAAATATTAGCTATCTCCAGGCAAGTGGCCTTACAACCCCAAGCCTGTCTCCCCTTTTGTTTTTTTGGTTTTTTTTTAAATATATTTTATTGATTTTTTACAGAGAGGAAGGGAGAGAGATAGAGAGTTAGGAACATCGATGAGAGAGAAACATCGATCAGCTGCCTCCTGCACATCTCCCACTGGGGATGTGCCCGCAACCCAGGTACATGCCCTTGACCAGAATCGGACCTGGGACCTTTCAGTCCGCAGGCCGACGCTCTATCCACTGAGCCAAACCGGTTTCGGCTGTCTCCCCTTTTGTAAAGTGAAGATAATAAACCCTGCCTCAAGATGTTAAGAAATAAAGAGAGAATATATGCAAATGCTCTGTGGAGTGGCTGACAAACAGAGGTTTAATAAATACTGGCTACTCCTTCTCTTTCTCGTGAGACAGCTACAATGCACTGAGGCACGGAATGAGACACAACCTGTGTGCTGCACAAAGGAGTCCCTCAGGCAGCACTGAGTCATCCTCGTCTCCGCCTCTCCTCCCGCCCCTCCCTCCGTGGCAGGCAGAATTCTTGGATGTCCCCCAAGACACCCAACCCCTGGCAGGCTCACTGTCTAAGCCCAAGACAGTGAATAGGATGATGGTCACTCCGGTGATCAGTGTCTGACAGACAGCTGGCCTGAAGGAAGGGAAGTCACCCTGGGGGGACGTGACCTACTTGGGTGCGTTCCTAAAAGGGACAGCGCTCTCCCTGACGGAAGGCATGTGGAGCGTGTGTATCACTTATGAGTGATTAGCTCGGAACAGACCCTTTCGTATGCACTCGGAGAAACAACTGAATCCCTTTTTTCTCCTTAAAGAGAGCGCGGTGATAAGCTGTCTCGGCAGAGGGAGCTGGAGGGACACTGCAGGCGGGGACAGGGAGTCCGGGAGGACATTGGCGAAGCACGAAGCACGAGCAGGATCGGGCCCAGAACATGGCTGCTCTTTGGTCTCGTAGCCTCAGCCTGGAAATCACCTTCCTGCAGGCCTCTGACCCCACAACCAGAGCCCCCGCATGGCCCGCAGGCTCCGGAGGCCTGCTGACCGGCACAGGCACCGGGCTCCACACCCAGGCCCTGGCCACCTGCTCTCCTGCCTGTACTCAGAAGGTGGCACACTGCTCGCCCAGCAGCTCCAGACCAACTCCAGCCTGGCCAAACCAGCAAACTCTTTGCTGTCGGGTGGACTGAGCCACACCTTCTCCAACGAGGTCTGAATCCTTTTCAAGTTTGTCTTTCCTTGGGTCTCCCTCAGCCCGAGGGTCATATAGAGTTTCCTTATATCTTACACTCTTTTGTCAGAGCTTGTAATAATTTTGTTACACTTCCCCTGCCTAACTTACTGTGTGGTTTTTATCTCCTTATCAGACTGCTACAGGATGAGAAGGATTTTACACAAAGGAGACTATTGCTGGCTTTGAGGTTGGAAGGGCTGCTCCACAAGGAATGTGGGTAGCCTCTAGGAGCTGGGAATGACCCGCAACTAATAGCCAGCAGGTGGTAGGACCTCAGTCCTACAACCACAAGGAACTGAATTCTGCCACAGCCATAGGAGCTTAGAAGAGGACCCCAAGCTCCAGGTGAGAAGGCACAAAATGATTTTTCATTAACCTTATGCCAACCCTTCTCTAATGACCCTTTCATACGGCAGGGATAGGCCCTATTTTTGCCAGCTCTTGAAATAGCGTTCCTTTCTTTTCTACATACTTTCCATATCAGGCCTTCCAGTTCAAAGTCTGTAACAATAATCTTACTTTCCAAATTAGAAAGGAAAAAAATTATACAGGCAGAATAAGAAACATAAATTTTTCATCTAGCAGATTTCCTTTCCACTATAAATAGTCAAGAGAGCCAAATATTTTCAATGTGTCCATGAGAGAAATGTAGTAATTCTCAGACCAAAAAGCTAAGTGAAGGCAAGTACCCAGAGAGGAAAGGAAAGGGACTGCAGAGAGCTTTCTGTACCTTGAGACGATATGCTAATAAGATGAACTTGAGACCTCACAGGACATGAGAACAGCAGATAAAGCCCAGGGCCCATGCAAGGTAAAGAATCTAATACAATTTTCACATACCTCCCCACAAAAACCCAAGACCCCAAGGTAAGGGTAAATCAAACAGAGCCCCCTCAAGAGAAATGCCAGGAAAATCACCCATCTCAAGTGTAAGTACCAAGAAGGAAGAATTGGTCACCACTGAGAATTGGTTATCATGATGGTTTACAACTCAGATTCATTCTGTGGTTTTTAAAAAGTAAACACATATCAAGAATTTTACTTAATTTCAGCCGCACTGGTGATGGCCTTAGGCATCCAACAGAAGCCATGTAAATCCTTTCTGGGAGGAGCCCACCTTCATACCAGACCTCGAAGAAGACATACATATAAAATTATAGGGAAAATTAACAGCTTGCAGTCAACCATAACTTAACACATATGGAAACAGGGTACCATGAGTAGAAGGCAGCAAAGAGCAGACACAGACATGTAAGGGCTTTCAATATTGGAATGATCAGATACAGGTTATAAATAAACTCTGTCTTAAGAAATAAGATAAGCTTAAAATATGTGCAGGGAGAAAGAAGGAAGAGGGGGAGGGAAGGGAGGAGGAAGGAAAGCAAAAAGGGAGGGAGAAGCAAAACTATAAAAGCAAAAGAACTTCTACAGAAATAAAAATTATACAACCTGAAAATAAAAATGTCAATAGGTGAGGTTCTGGTTCTGGTAATAGCAGAACATCAAACTCATCCCATAGACAGCACATTAATAAACTCTAATAACAAAATATGAAAACCAACTATTGGATAGTACTAGAGATTGGAAATCTCAGAAATAAATTAAAACAAGAAAAAGAAGAACCCAGTGGAAATTTTAGAACTAAATAGTACAATACACAAACTGAAAAAAAAAATCACTGGGTGGGCCTACTAACAGATTGGAGATGAAAGAAGAAATAGTGGACAGGCCTTTTTGGAGAAACTGACAAGAGGATTCTGAAACATATGTGGCTATTTTACAATAGCCAATAACCTTGAAGAGCACACAGGGAGGACTCAGACTTCCTGATTTCAATACAAAGCTAATTCAATACCCAAGACAGTATGGTATTGTCATAAGCCTCGACAAAGAGATCCCTGAACAGAACAGATAGTTTGGAAATAGACTCACAGGTATGTGGTCAAGTCATTTTGAACAAAGATGCCAAAGCAATTGAATGGAGAAAGGAAATTCTTCAATCAATGGTGCAGTTGTACTGGGAAACAAAGCTACCCAACCGCCGGGCCTCTCGACTGCCCGCTTATGGAAAGCCTCAGGTGCAGTTCTCGCCTAACAACAGGAACTGTAAGAACTAAGCTCAACAGATCTCTTATCTTCTTTCATCTCAATTTTTGCCAGAAAAAATACTTTTCCCCAAACCTCCCAGGACCATGTACCATGATCTAAATTCCTTCCCAGACTGCTCTGCTCATCTCACCACCTGACCCAACATGCCGCCCTTCCCCTTCTCCCTTCGCTTCCACTGGGTTCTCTGTAACTTGCTCCCAGAGCTGCCACTCCCTCACACACCGCCTCCTGTTCTCACTGAGGTTGCCTCCAGCTGCCCTGAAACCGGGCTCCCTGGAAGCTCCCAATCAGAAAGGGCTGACACCAGATGGCTCAGGCTTGGCGATGGGAGTATGAACTTCTTTGCTCCTCCCCTCCCCCGCCCCCACCCCCGCCGCCCCCAATGCTGCCTCCAGAGAGTTCTCTCCCACTCCCATGGAATACTGACTTCCGCTTTGGGGAGCATGCCTGCTGAGTTTACTGCCCTCTGATTCCTTCATACATTCTGGCCACTCCCCCTACTTCAACCGGGAAGGCTCAAGGGTGCCTGTTTCTGGCCCTCCTCACCTGGGCACCTAAATGCTGGCACTCCTGAGCTCCGGCGCTGGCCTCTCTCTCTCTCTCTCTCTCTCTCTCTCTTTTTTTAAAGGTATAAAGTTCATTAGCATCTTTAAAAAAAAAGGACTAGCTACTGAATATGGGATAGTTCCTATTTACAAGTTTACTGCAAGGAGGCACATTTTAATCAGCATTGCAATAATCAAAGGATTATAATTTTTTTAGAACTATCAATTACCGTATTTCACTCTCCAGGTAAAAGATAATTGAAAATATTAAGTGACTGCCCCAATGAGAAAGACAAATGAATACCTTAAAAATGTATAAAAAAGGGTAACTGCTAACTTAAACATGAACTTTCACAAAATGATTCTTGTGCCTAATTCAGACAAGCTAGAGAAACTGGCAAAAAAAGCAACACACGAATATGTCTTCATTTAAGTACATGCTTTCAAGCTAGTTTAACGGAAAAAGTCTCATTAGGGTTTCCAGAGTTTGAGGAGTCCGTCCTCACTGTAGGCAGCAATCAGGCTCTGATGAGGATGATGTGCAACACCAATCACGTCCTTCTCATGAACGGTCAGAGTTCTCCCCAGTTTGCCTGGCCTCTCTTTTTAGGGCACGTTCCCCAATGGCAGCGGTACTGACACCTGGGGCTGACCGGGTCTTTGCTGGGAGGAGGGGCTGTCCTGCCCACTGTCGGAAGCACAGCCGCATCTCTGGCCTCTGCCCCGGACGCCAGCAGCAGCCGCAGTGGACAACCACGGCCTGAGGAAATCAGTCTCAGGCCCTCAACTCTCTCTCCTCATATCCAGTTTCCCATCTGACATCTCTCCGAAGTTTCACCAGCATGTCAATCTTAGCCTGTCCCCAGTTGCATTTCTTTTTTCTTTTTTTAAATATATTTTTATTGATTTCAGAGAGGAAGGGAGAGGGAGAGAGAGACAGAAACATCAATGATGAGAATCATTGATCAGCTGCACGCCCCACACTGAGGATGGAGCCCACAACCTGGGCATCGAACTGTGACCTCATGGTTCACAGGTCAACACACAACTACTGAGCCATGATGGCCGGGTCCCAGTTGGGTTTCTGTTTTGAAACCGACTTTCCTCTGAACTATGAACACAAACTGGACACACTGGCAGAAATCCTGGCTCATTCAGAGTTCAGACACGTCACGCCCCACAGAATCTAACCTTCAACTAGAACAAACTGGGAAGAGGAAAATACTGCCACAAACAGAAGGCAATTAAAAAGTCCAGGAATGTATTTCAAAACATGATCCTGTCTAGAAAATCCAGTTTCTTTGGGTGTGTCTTCCTTCAAGAGAGGTACTTTCAAGAAATAACTGGTACCTACTAGCACCAAACAGTGAACTTGTGACTTTCTGATTTATTGCAGCATCCCACCCCTTTGTGGAAGCAGGTATGTAAAATACTTAGGGTTGAGTTACACCCATATGTTTTAGACAGATGACTTGTTAATAAGTAGGACATATAATCAGGTTTCCAGGAAAAGAAAAAAATAATTTTGGAAATAGGTGCACTACCTCTGTGTATACACCGATGACAGTATGAACCCAGTCGACAAGCTGTCACAAGCACGCTGGTGCCAAGGGAAAAATGAGCTAAATTCTAGCAGCAAGAGGTAGGAGCTCGCCTTTGACTACTCTGCAGTGGCTGTTTTCTCCATGAGCTAATACTCAGAGTTTCCCCGGGGCTCGCCTGGTGCCACCCCCCATGGAAGGGGAGAAGGTGGACAAGAGCTGGAAACATCTTTCAAACCTGCAGTTAACCTGCAGTTCTGCCACTCATGAGGCTAAATAACAGTCTCCCAAAAATATATGTTGAGGATTACCTTACATACCCTAAAATAGTATTCACTCAACAGTTTTTATAAATGAATATAATCTATTCAAATAGATGCTAAGTATTACACTTTTAAATTTAAAAATGTCTGCCCTAGCCTGGATTGCTAAGTGGTTGGAGCGTCGGCCTGTGCACCCAAGGGTCATGGGTTCAATTCCTGGTCAAGGGCACTTACCTGAGTTGCAGGTTCGATTTCCAGCCCCGGTTGGGGTGAGTGCAGGAGGCAACCAATCGATCTGTCTGTCTGTCTGTCTCTCTCTCTCTCTCTCTCTCTCATCGTGTTTTCTCTCTCCTCCTTGCCCTCCTCTTCCTCCTCACTCCCTCTACCCTCTCTAAAGAAAATCAATAGAAAAAATATCCTCTGGTGAGGATTCACAAAAATAAATTAAAAAAAATTTAATTTAAAAAATTGTTCTTACCCTACTTGATTACAATTCTACCTCAACTTCTGTTCAGCAGATGAGCAAAAGTCATAATAAAGAATGGCTTTTGCGGGGGGAAGGAGGAGGATTAACCAAAGAACATACATGCATAGTCCATGGACACAAACAAACAAAAAAGAATGGCTTTATTTAAGTGAGATGGTGAAATATTTAAGTGAAACGAGGCCTAAATACTTCACAATAGTGAAATACAAAGCACTACAATACAACTTCTGGTGAGTATAAACTGTACTTGGGTTGACAGAGGGAGAGAGTATCTGTACAGTTCTTACGTAAATATACTTATATTTAATTATGTAAGTAATGGCATAATTATAAAATTATGTAAATATAAATATTGAACATAGAAAATGTGTTATTTTTTCTTTTCTAAAAATTTTGTGGGGGTTTTTAAATTTTTAAAAAAGTATGCTATTTTTATTCTTCAGACATTATTTTATTCTTCAGGCATGAGGGATAAGCTTCAATGAAACAAAGCTGTAAAGTTTCACAACAACCATGCTCCACTTATTTCATTTCCCATCACATACATTATAAATGCCAAGAATAATGCTTATTATTTTAGAAAAAAATTACTTACAAGAGAAACATACTTACAAGAGATAGCAGCAAACTGAACAGGTCACCAACATGGTGATGATAACTCTAAAAAACAATAACAAACAAAAAATTAGATCACTTGCAAACTATGCAGACACTGCAGGATGGTTCAAGTCCCCTTCCCAAGTGATCACACAAGCAGGGACTGTGCACCCAGAAAAGGCACCCCAACCTGTCCCAACACCCACAGACGGCACTGCACCCTGGGGTGCATGTGGTAGAAGTTAAAGTAAATAACTAAACATTATTTGTATGTGAAGGGATATGCACTTATGTCACAGCTTAGATGTCTAATCCAAACCCACCTGAAGCTGAACGCAAAGGCTGCAGTGACAACTCATTTTGACGTCCAAGTAACTACCCCGTTTGGCATTTCTACCACAAAATGACACTGTGCTGCTGAAAATGGGGCTCTCTAGTGTTGCCCTCTCCCCATCTCCATTCCTGTCTGAAAAAGTTAAACCTGGATCTCGAACCTGGTGAATGTCAGCACTCTGAAACTGGGTCCATGCCAACCTCTTCCCACCTCGCCTCCCAAAGCCTCCCCCCCTCTGACCCTCCTGCTCCCCCGAAGCAGCTCTGCCACTCCACCCACCACCCCACCCTCATATCAGTCATCTTTGTGCTCATGCCTCCTCTGCACCCGCCGAGTCACCATATGCTGTGAGTTAATCTTTCTAAAGCATCCTCCCCTATGTGGACGTCTTCCTTTCCGTTCCCACCCTTAGCATGAAAATTCATCTAGTTTGTCTAGCTACCTGGTGGCACTGCCAGAGCTGTCTTCCTTCCCTTTCGTTCTATCGGCAATCACCCGGGATTCATCGTTCTAAAATATTCCTTTCATCACATCTCCCTGCGGTGTCACACCTTTCAGTGCCCCCCCCATCCCCAAGAGTCGTGTCCAAAGAAAGGCCCCCACACCCCACAGAGTAAGGAGGACTGTCTCCTAGAAGGCGGGAAGCAATATCAGAACTCCTACTGCTATTTTTAACTCATCCTTTGGAAGTGCTGTGCGTTGTATTCTCTATGGTGATTACACTGGCACATCCACTCATTCCCTCAACAGATTTTCACTGAGTGTCCGGTATGTACTAGGCTCTTGGGAGACAGGAGGGAAGGAAACGGGAAAACCCCTGCCCTGGTGAAGTCTACATGATAGTGGGGGGGACAGACAACAAACAAGTGGAACAAGAAACAAGATAGATCTTCCATCTCTCTCTCTCTCTCTCTCTCTCTCTCTCTCTCTCTCTCTGCCAGAAGGTCAGTAGCACAGATGGAGAACAAAGCAGGAAAGGAGGATAAGGGTGAACAGGGGAGTCTGAGATAAAAGTGCTGTAAGATGTGCACACACGGACACACACACACACACTCACTTATTCAGAGATGAAGCAAAAGTGAATACATAATTACTGGATCTACGTGGTGGTATACAGCAGTCATACTACTCTTCCTACTTTTCCGTATGCCTGAAAATGACCTGCATGTTTGAGAAACATGAGCTTATAACTCCTGGCACATCAATTCCTGTGCTTCCTCCCCCAACCTACTGCTAAGGGAGCCACTGTGAAAAACCTGAAACTTTTAGAGATGTGTGCATTCCTAGAGAGAAACACGGGAATCGTGAAAACAGGAATGGCCAGGAAAGCGGT